CATGTTAACTGTTGACACACTAATTTACTGTGGCTCGCTTCCCGTAAGACCTGCTCAGTAATATGGCTTATTGATGAGGCCACAGGGAGAGTGCGTGTACTGCATGTGTGTGTGTGTGTGTTGTGTGTCTGTTTGCATTACTGAGTATTTCCACCGGAGATGAAATATCTGCCGCGCTCCAGATAAATGTGGTCAGTCCACGGGTGATGTATGCACACACATAAATATTGACTCTCTGTGCGCGAATGTTGTTGTTTGTGAGACGCTTTGCTAGCTGTGGGGGGCAGGCGAAGAGTGAAACATATAATTGTTTGTTTCGTATGTGTATAAAGGGGCATGCTGTTATGTAGAATATTGTTTTTCCAATGATTAGATTTTTCTGAGTCTGCTTTTGCTCAAAATTGATGACACTTGAAGAGAAGAGGAAACTGGATCAGGGAGCTGGGAGAGATCTTGAACAGGAAATTGAACAGTGTTGAAAAAACTGGACAAAATGCAGCTACTGCCGCATCCCTGGAGTCTGGAGGCGCCAACAGGTTGCCACAACACACACCCCGTACACAGGTAAAGTACACCAACGAGAGCTTCAAACTATGCGCTCAGACAGACATCTTTTTTAACTGTCCCGACACGGAGACACACACACACACAAACATTTATTCACGGAAGTGAGGAGAGGTTGATGGATGCAGAGCTGCTCGTTCCTCTGAGATCCCCACATTCTCCATGTGCCATTAACCTCCAAGATCGATGGAGGGAGCGAAGCGGCGGGTGAAGTGGTGATCAGGAGGATCGGGAGACATCTCGGCGGGCCGGTAACATTTTGGTGATTGCTTTGGGATGTACTTACGTTTTTGAGCCTCATTGCAGGTTGAACTGATGAAGCTATGCGTGCACATGCAGACACACACACACACACACACACACACACCTACACTTTGTTAACATCAAAACAAAAAGTACAGCGGAGGGGGTTGTAATGTCACATTTCATATTCAGGTTGTCTGTCATTTTGATTTGATCCCTCGCTGTCTGCTGAGCCATCGTTTCACGTTACTTACGTTATAATTACAGGAATCCTGCTAAAAGCACATTTTGTGGTGAACAAGGTGAAAGAGACCAGTGACTTCCTGCAGAGAGTCCTCATGTTCTAAATGGCACAGTTTCTATTCCTCAAGATTTGATTTGCGGTTACTCTCAATATGAGTTCAGAGTGGACCTTAAATTTGAAGTCAATGTTTTCAGTCACTGCAGTAGTTTTTAAGTGTTGTTTTGGAATTGGGTCAAATAGAAGCTTTTTATTGGTTTGTGGTTTGTTTCACAGTGGCCAGGGCTGACCTTATTTTCAGGAGCTTTTAGAGGAGATTTGCTTTCAGGGACCCTTTACAAAAACACTGATATTGCTTTTTTTTTTTTAGCAAGAAAGAAAAACGGCCTCATGCGTGGGGGGGTCTCAGGTCTCAAGGCAGTTGGTCTGCATTGCTAAACTCCCGAAAATGAAACCCACTTGGCCCCTGGAGGGACAGAAAAGGGAGTGGAGAATGGCAATGTGTGGAGAGAAGAGAGGACAGGAAATTAAATTAAATGGACAAATAAATGGGTAAAAGGAAGAAAATAGAAAATGTGGTGTGAAATGAAGTATGAGTGAAAAATGAAGGAAAATGTACACTTGAACAGGTGGCAAAAATGACAGAAACGCAACAGGAATAGTGCTGAAAAACAACAAAACAAATTTAGGAAGCCATGAAATGAAAGAAATGAGTGCATGCAATCATTCATCAAATGAGCTGAACAGCAAAGGGATAGAGGTTGCAGTTTGTTGGCAAGGTGTGGACAGGGCCAGTATTGCTTGACGACAGGCCAGCGGACAAGTTCTTCCCCTGACGCAGAGCAAGGATCACCTTACCCTCTGTTGGTTTCACAGCTCTGTTGCAACACACACACACACACACTCAAAAATCTTTTCCTATGAATGCATTCGTGTTTTGCTTTTCTCCATTCAATGACTGAAGCCAGTAGTGTCAAGTGAGGCTCAATCTAGGAATCCATCGTCTATCAGTCTGACCACCGTCGAGCCTCTGGAGGCAACGGACAATGTTTCCGTTGCTCCAGCGATCAAGACCTCCTCTCCTGTGCAAGTTGTTTTGCAGTCTGATTAGCAACTGTAGACCCAAGGCTGGAGTTGGAGTTATAGCCACTTTACAAGCGGATTCAAAGCTAATAAAAAGGTAGATCATTATCAGACGACAGCCGATGAGTTCCGCAATTGCATTTCAGCCAATGCGTTCCACGTCTTTTGCTCTCCAGGTGGACTGTTTACCTGCATTCAACCAACCAGCTCAAACGTGACTGGTCAATACTACTATACTATACAATAATAACGTGGCATCACATAAACATACAAATTCACCATAACATGCTATGATGTAAGATGTTTGTAAGTTAGTTTTCAGGGGGTAGGAACACTATTGTGAGCACGAGCAGCTTTTCTGCCCAATCTCCCTAAAATAGAATCTCAGTGGTGACTCCTGGGAAAACCCAGTCCACTGCTTGGCGAGCAGAAAAAGGTGTCATGGATTGGCATATCCTAGTTTCACAACATACTGTTGCAAGTTCTACAGAAGAATGCATGAAGGGAAGGGCCAGAAGGCGTGGGTCCATGTGGTGGGTTGGTGTGAATTCAGAATGATTCACAGAAGTTGTTGCGGACTCTCCCTGTCCAAAGTCTGCCTGCCGACTTCTGGATACGAAGATTTAAGATTGTTTTTTTTTTTGCATTCAGCGTGCTCTCTTCCTCTGTGGCACCAAACCTTGGACTACAATCTTAAACTATTTTCATTATTTCACTTCAAATGAAGCACTGAAAAATATTTTTTCAAAATGTAAGGATTTAACTGTACCAACAGCAATTTGCTGTTTAACATCTCAGGTAGATTACACACATAACGGTGCGTCTACCTGTTCTCCATTGGTAAAAAAATAAGACATTTCCAACAGCTCAAGTGGAACGTTACATTGATGTCAGCATGAGATTGCTCTGTGCTCTCATCACGTGACACGTTCCAGTTGGCCTGGGTGGGTTTAGTTTCAGTGGAAAGACACAGGAAGAGTTGAGCAAGAGAGGTGAGAGAGACAGGTTACAGAGGTTGAACGACTAAAGGGACCCAAGGAATGAGTAGGGTGACTCTCTTTCACACACACAAACGCACACCTACACACACACACACTCTGACCTGTCATGGAAAAATAACTTAATACCTTCAGACCTCCAGAGATGTTAGGAAACATCTGAGTGACAGTTTGAAGGTATGTATCTGCGCCTGCGTGTGTGTGTCACATGTCACTGACCTGAGTGAGACCAGTGATTCACCTGCCTGCTGGTAATTGTCGGCCTGTTACAGTAAAAGTAAAACTGGTCAGGAAATGAGAATGTATCCGATCGGTCAGGACTGTGATCAGTGACATAAGACCGCTTGTTCTCAGAAAAGCTTGCGTCAGAGAAGTTCAAGGGGCTATAAATAATTGTCACATGATGGAAAAAAAAACAACAACAAAAAAGCATCGTGTGATTTTCTTGTCATGAAAGAAAAAGAGGTTTGAAAGGGTTTTTCTTCCCACGAGATAACTCGGTGCACAACGTGATTTTTGCTGAGCGGTCACTGGTAACTTCAGCTGTGTCATTATGGCCTACATGTGTGTGCATCTGTGTGTGCATGTTTGCAGGGTGTGTCCTGGGAAGGCAAAGGGAGAGCCAAGGTTTGGTTAGTTTTTCAGACCACAGGCTTTGGTGTCGCTACAGGCCCTAAAACTCACCTCCCACAGACCTCTTCCCTATATTTCTGTATACTACTGAGAATGACAGGGGGAAATAAAGCACAGATTTAAACAAAAAGTATTAAAGGGTACAGAAATTCAGTCAATTTATGCATTTCCCCACCATTAAATTACCCCCTGGCTATTAGCCTTTCAACCCTATTTCTCTGAGTGTGTGTCAGCGTTGTGTTGCTGTCTGTCTCTCTCCCCTTATTTAGATTCCATTCACCAGTGACCCATGTGCCCTTGGTAAACAGCTTTTTTCTCTGTCCTGCAGACAAGTGTGTTTGTGTGTGTGCACGCAAAGGTGTGTGTGCATTTTTGCAACCAAGTGCTCAGCCATTATTACCCAATAGCTTTTTCACAAAAGAGAAAATGCTGTTGTTAATTGTCATAGTAAATCAAAGATTATTAGTAAAGTAATTTGGCTGTTCGATAGCTAAGTTACTCATCCGATTCCTTTGCATTTTGATTAGTTTATCAGTTTGCACTTGGTCTGTGTTTCCACTGTGATGCTGTAAACCAGCACCAGGTTCCATTTAAAGCTCAGCACTACTACAAAGCTCATAAAGCTGTGCTGAGGGTCTCTCCTTTCCCTGTGTTCTGCTTTTCTTCATTCCACCTCCCTCTATTCTCACTTTAATAGAGAGAAAGGTAGAGGAATAAATAAGAGGCATGGAGAGAGTATCTAGATGACAGGACTGTGGAGGGAAATGGGAGAAAAAGTGGGAGACATGTACTGTAATAATGATAATGAATTAGAGGGAGAGAGTATGAGATATATGAAGGTAAGAGAGAGAGAGAGAGAGAGAGAGAGAGAGAGAGAGAGAGAGAGAG